TCCCGCCCCCTCACAGCTCAGTGTCCCCAGGGGAGAAGCCATACGTTTGCACGGTGCCAGGCTGCGGGAAGCGCTTCACCGAGTACTCAAGCCTGTATAAGCACCACGTGGTGCACACGCACTGCAAGCCCTACACCTGCAGCGGCTGCGGCAAGACCTACCGGCAGACTTCCACCCTGGCCATGCACAAGCGCAGCGCCCACGGCGAGCTGGAGGCCACTGAGGAGAGCGAGCAGGCCCTCTATGAGCGGCAGCAGCTGGAGGGTGAGGGCGGGGGCAGGGGAGAGGGACACGGGGAACCAAGGCCTCCCGTGGCATCTGGTAGCATTTGGTAGCCTGGGCTCTCCTCTCCTAGCCGCCTCTGCAGCTGAGGAAAGCCCGCCGCCCAAGGGAGCCCACATCGCTTACCTTTCCGAGGTGAAGCAAGAAGGGGATGACGTCTCAGCCCAAGTGGCCATGGTGACCGAGGAGGATGGGGCCCCCCAGGTGGCTCTGATCACTCAGGATGGTGCCCAGCAGGTACTGGCCCCAGGGACCACTGCTCTGTCTGGGCAGTCCTGAAGCTTGGCCAGCCCCACCTCCCCAGATCTTGTTACAGCGTTCTGGACCTCAGAGGGCTGAGGTGGAGGGGACCAGACCTTGTAAGCCTGCCCCACTCCTGCTTGTTGCCTCTAGCTTCCACCCTCCAGGGCGTGGTCAGTTTCCTTCTTGGAGGCTGCCCGGCCCTCGAGGTCTGAAGTGCACTGAAGTAGGTGTCCTCTCAGGAGAGACCTGGTGGTGCAGAAGTCTCAAAGTCTGGCAGTCCCTCCAGGGTTGCTAGCCAGCTTTGTCCCCACCTGCACTGCCCAATGCACCTGTGCTTCTAGAGCTGTTAGGAGGACGGAATTCAGAGGGTGCCCCGAGCTACACACAGCAGGGGCCAGAGCGAAAGTGGTGGTGAATAGAGTGGTCAAGCCAGGTGTGGTGACACACATCTGTAATCCCAGCCCTCTGGGAGGCTGAGGCAGAAGGATCACGAGTTAGAGGCCAGCCTGGACAACTTAGTGACTTAGCATGACCCCATCTCAAAATTTAAAAGGCCAGGGATGTAGGTCAGTGCAAAGACCTTGGGTTCAATTCCCAACACTGACTGAGAAAAAAAAAAAAAATAGACATGGTCAGCAGACTACTTCTAGTGGCCCTGTTTTGTTTGCTTGTTCTCTCTCCCAGGAGCTGAAGCTCAGCTCCTTCAGACTGCCCTCCTCTGGGCTCTAGCTCGTCTTCCCTCCTGTCGCAGGTCAGCCTGTCCCCAGAAGACCTGCAGGCCCTGGGGAGTGCCATCAGTGTGGTGACCCAGCACGGTGGCACCACCCTCACCATCCCCAGTCATGACAGTGCCCTGGCCACGTCCAGCACACACACGGTCACCATGGTCAGCGCTGATGGCACGCAGACGCAGCCCGTATGACCAGGCGGTTTGCTGGGGTTTCTTGTTCTCTTTCTACCCTTTCCATGGGGCGGGCATGAAAAGTTCAGGCCAGACTTGTCAAGCCTTTTACAAGGACACAGGTTCCCCCAGCTTTTCTGGTCCACCAGCAACTTTCATCTTTAAAAGCATTTGATGAATCGAGATAGTTTCTAAATTTCAGTCCAGCCCTGTTTTGCCTCGGCATTCTAGGCAAATCACTTTCCCATGGACTTCAGGTCCATTTTTCAGCTCAGGGGGTTGACTTATCTCTGGGCTCTTTATACTTCTGTCCTTTGGTGACTCAGAATTCCTACATTCAGCTGGGCTCTAAGTTGTAGAAAAACTCAGCTTCATTTAGCTGTGTACCCCAAGATTAAACATCTTAACCACACTGGCTTTATTCACTCCCTTGTGGGTTGCGTCCAGTCATCTGGCACGGAGGCGCCTTACCTGGAGTGGGGAGAGGGAAGATGCTGTTGGAGGTGGGTAGAGGATCTTCTGCATTTCAGGTCACCATCATTACCTCGGGGGCTGTGGTGGCTGAGGACTCCAGCGTAGCATCCCTTCACCATCAGCAGGTGGCACTGTTGGCTACAGCCAACGGAACTCACATCGCTGTACAGGTGGGTAGAAATGTGGGAAGAAAGGAGCTCCCAGACCAACGAAGGGATTGGGCGGATGAGGAAACTGGGTGGTGATCTTGAAGAGAATGGTATCGGGCATTCAAAAAGAGCCCATTTCATGGGGCCGGGGATTTAGCTCAGTTGTGCTGACACCTGCCTCACAAGTGCAAGGTCCTGAGTTCGATAAAACATTTCAGAGGACAAATCCCACTCTGCCTGTATCCACACACCTGTGTCAGGCTCAGTCCGGCTGAGGCAGAATGGAGAAACCCCTTCAGCCTTCAGAACAACGGATGGCAGTCCTCCTGTGGGCCAAGCCCTTCGCCACTTTCTGTGTCTCTCACCTAGGAGACGAAGCGGCTAAAGTAGATGATCACTGAGGTGTTCTCTGGCTAGTTTTTCTTTGGTGAGCAAGCTGTTCTCTGATCGTGGGCCACCTGGGGTCCCTGCCAATGGCTCACCCTTAAGACTCTTACCTGTGAACTTCTGCTTATGGGGCCTGACCAAGAGCTTAGTTTGTGGCCCTTAATGGAGGAGGTGCAGACAAGTGGACCACGGTGCTAACATTAGAGTCTGGGGGGCCCATCTCACACCCTCCTTCCTTCCACACCTCTCTGCAGCTGGAGGAGCAGCAGACCTTGGAGGAGGCCATCAGTGTGGCCACTGCTGCCATGCAGCAAGGGGCTGTGACCCTGGGGACAGCAGTGACTGACAGCGGCTGCTGAGCCAAGAGGGCAGGCTCACACCGTGCTGGAGGACGTGCCACCCTGTGCAGGCAGCCCTACCTCCGGGGCCCAGCCCGTGGCTGGCACATGAAGGCGGCCATATGGGTCTCTGGGGTGAGAAGGCAGCCAGAAAGTGGCCTCACTGAAGAGCGTGGAGGCCCTGCCCGAGAGGAAGGCCCAGCAGCAGGCAGTGGGAGTGAAGTGAACAAGCCCAACACCAAGCTGCCCTGGGTGCCCACACCCCTCCCTGAGGAGGACACACCCTTCCTGTCTTCAGCCACTCCTCTTCTCAGGTGGAAAGTGGGGCTGTGGTGGGCACTGGCCTCCACCCAAACTGATCTCAGCCCAGCGGGGCAGAGCAGGCCCAGCCCTGTCCCTCCCCAGCAATAACCACCTCCCTGGAGGCAGCTGAGGCGCCTTGTCCCTTGGCACTGGCATTCCTGCCACCGTAGACAGAATTAATTGCTCAGGGGCCTGTGGCTGGAGTCCCCGTTCCCACCACCACCCCCAGCTGTCCCCCCGATCTCTGGCAGAGAGGCAGGGATGGCCCTGTGCAGAGACTGCTGGGATTGGGTTTCATTTGTTTGGTGGGGTTGTTTTTAATTCCACTTTGATAATTATTTTTTCTCCTGCTCTGGGTGGTGGTGGAAAATGGATGAATGAATATTTAATAAAAATTCCAAGTTTCCATTGGGCTCCTCCATCCTTCCAGCATGGAGCCCTAATGTCAGGGCTGGGCAAAGGCATCTCTCACCCATTTCCCTGGCACAACCCCTTCTCGGCTTCGGTGACTGAGAGAAAGGCCCAGTGTAAGAGGAGGAGCTGCCAGTGGCTCCTTGCCACTCCTGGGCAGGGAGCTCTCAGGCAGCCCACTAGGACCAGCATAGTCATCACCTGCAGGCTCTGGCTGACCCCAGGCCTCAGGCTGGTTGGGCTGAAAGAACTCGGGGTTTTTTCTGCTTTACCTTGGCAGAATGTATCCCAAGCTGCTCCTACCCCAGCCAACCCTGACCACAGAGCCAGCTGGTCCGAGAGGACAGAGCAGGCTGAGAAGCACCTTTGCTCTCATTGCCGAGGTTCTCTGGTGCCTTGATGCTCTGGGGCTGAAGTCCTGGCTTCGCTACCTTGCTCCTGGGGTGGGGCCTCCTAGATGTCTAGGGCTGCCATGCTGTGGGATTCCTAAGACATAGGCCCCACTGGAGACTGAGTGGTGGGCCAGCCCCTGCAGGAGGAGGTGCACGGAGTACTGATGGAAGGGACCCCGCCCGGATGGAGGCACGGTGGGAGCTGGAGGTGCTTCTTCCCCTCTCCCTCTCATGGCTGTGATGAGTGGCCCTCAGTGCCCGTCCTACTCCTGAGAATGGAGCCCCCTCCCCTGAATGGATGCCCAGAAAGCTCCCACTTATTCCTGCCATCAGCCCCCTGGTTGCAGAGGAACTGGGGCGTGCCCAGAAGCAGCTTTCTCCACATTGGCCTTCAGGCTTCTTCCACAGACACACTGTGGGCCCTGGATCTAATAAAGTGGCAGCACAGATGTGCCTTGAATCCCAGGACTTGCTGCTGGGATCCGGATGTGGGTCCCCACGCACACTTCAGATACAGTGGGCAGCGTTCTGAATGCCTCTTGGCGCCATTGCCAGGACTGGGAGCCAGCAAATCAAGTGCCAAGTCCATCCCACCTGCACGGGTGCCTTGGGCCAGTTCCTCCAGCTTTGTGGGGTTCACTTTGTTTCCATCCCCTTTTTGGTGGAGCTCACCTCACCCCCACAGTTGTTAGGTGGCACCAAAAGGGATGCTTTAACCAGAGTCTACTCTACTACTCTTAGCCTTGCAACTTCGGGAGACTGGTGTTTTCCTGCATCACACAGAGCAAACTGCTCTAGGAGGTTAGGTAACTGTCCGAGGCCTTTCACCTAACCTAGTAAGCCTGACTCCCATCTGGACCGCACTGCGGTGGGCTTGCTTTTTCCCCTAAGTGAGCTGCCTCTGGGAGCATCAGGAAGGCTCTGAGGCAGAGGGCTTTTTAAAAGGGCAGATCAGAAGGCTGCTCAGAGCGCTGCAGCCCTGAGGAGGTCAGCGGGCTTCCAGGCCAGGCGCACGCCCGAGTACCACCAGAGCAACCAGCAGCTCGGATCCGACGAGCAGGCAGGTGGAGCTCTTGCTCCGCATCAGGGCTCCTCTGCGGTCTGCAGCCGTTTGCATTTCCTGAAACCGGATCTTGGTGTCAGAGCCGCCCCTGGGCCGGGCGGGCGCCTCAGCCATGTCCCTGCGCAAGGAGCTGCTCAAGTCCATCTGGTACGCCTTCACTGCGCTGGATGTGGAGAAGAGTGGGAAGGTCTCCAAGTCCCAGCTCAAGGTGAGGACACCCGGGCCCAGGGAGTTTGGTGTGAATGCTGTGCCACCCTGGGCACCCAGCCATTCGGCACCCGGCTGCAGCGGGAGGCCCGGGACTGGGCAGCTGGGCCAGCACGCTTGGGAGATGCTCTGCCCATGATCGAGGGGCTCCAGGGAAATCTGTCCAGAGCACTGCCCAGAACCCAAGCCCCACTGGAGGTAGAGGGGAGATCACGGGGTTCTGAGGGCCAGGAGCCCGGCCACCTCCCAGACTCCATGTGGTGAGCAACACGACTCCCAGAGTCAAGCCTGGGCACGCACCCTACTCCTCCCGGCCCCGCTTCCTCCGGCCTTGAAGATTCAGCCCATACTTGTCAGTCATTTCCTTTGGGGCTGGGAGAGGCACAAAGGGCCTCCCCACTGCCAAGCCAGGCTGGCCCGCAAACCCTGCGTGTGGGACACAATGCGGGGGTGAGTATGGAGGACCCCACCGTGCTGCTCCCCGGCTCACCATCCTGCCCTACCGGTGTTTGCCGACACGCGCGTGCGCACCCCAGATTGGGAAACTTACCTTGGGCCTTAAGCCTCAGGCAGGGCATGTGAAGCTGAGCCCGGAAAAGCCCCAGCAGGAACTGTCCTAAGCCCCTGGACTGTTCCAGGAGGTTAAGGAGTTTGCTCCTGCTGCCTTCAGCCGTGAGTTGACGCTGCCGCCCACCCTTTTGGCAGAGAGGAAGCAACTCCCTGGGCTGCGGGAACAGGGACCTGGAGGGAAGGAGGAGTGCAGGCAACAGCTCTCGAGCCTGCCTCAGGCGTCCATTCCTTCACCATGAGGCTGTGTGCCTGGCAAGAGCATTGGCCCGGATTCCTTGGGCCTCCCTTCCTCTCCCTTCAAAAGAGCGGTTCAGTCTCAACCTCCCTTCCTAACGAGCAAGGTAATGGGTACCTGGAAGGCGAACAGGCATTGTTCCCCACCTCCATCCACCCACCCCTCACTGCTGAGCAAAGTTGGATGTCCCATCTCTGAGCCAGACTGACGGGCATCTAATCATTTTATACTTTTCCTCAAGGGAGAACCCACAGCCACCTTGGTCATTTGGGGAGAGCCTCACACACAGCAGGCAGGTTCTTCCCTTCATCCCATTTAAATCCCTTGTATTGAGATCACGTCGTCTAGTTGGGTCCTTGGCATGGATGGAAGAAGATCAGTCATCCAGACAACATCCTTGTGCCCCACACCCACCTCCCGCTCTGCCCTTTAATATCTTTCCAGGACAATCCAAGCCCCATGGCTTCTTGCTTCTAAGGAACATTTCCTACCTCAGGAGGCCCGAAACCTCTCTGTCCCTCACCTACGGAGGGTGCATCCCTCGGTGGCTCCTGTTTCATGGAGCCATCAGCCACCAAGGCCTCCTTGCTTGAGCTTCTGCCTGGCCTCCAGTGACCTGTACCCACTGCCCAGCCTGAGGGATGGAGCATCCTCAGGGAAGAGTCACCGAGCGCTTGCGTGCTTGATTTTTGCACTCTGTACCACTTGACAGCACCATTTTAGTCACAACGGTAATGGGAGATTTCAGCCTTGCCTGACGGGACCCTTGTCCCCTCTGGGGGACAAGTCTGGCTCAACAGTGGGAGTCTCAGTGGGATAGAAATAGCAGGGCCCTGCACAGGAGGGAAGGTGGTCTCCCCAGGCCCGCAGTGCTGGACACTGGGATGGGAGGACGTGGTGATGGTGCTGGGGGACGAGTGCCAGCAGGGTGAAGTAATTAGGCAACCAGAGGGCAGAGGAAGAGGCAGAGGAGACAGATACACCAGCAGCTCTTGTCCCCAGACTTGGGGATAAGGGAGAGGTCTCCGGATCAGCCTGTTCTTACTATAGCTCTCCCCCATCTTGGGGTCCTTCCTCGCTTGCGACCAAAGGACCCTATCAGGCATGTCCATCTGTGTCAGTCACCACGTACATCTCCCAGGTGTTTGGGGGGTGCCTTGGCTGTCCCGGGCAGACCCCAGCCGGGCCTGAGGAGGAATGACACAAGTCCTAGGAGAAGCCAAGGAGCTGGAGTGTTTTCCCTGGGGAAGAGAAGGCCGGGCGGAGGCCAGGTGCATGTCCTCTCTGAACTCCAGTGGAAGTGGGTCTAGCTGGGTTGAGGACAGTGCAGACAGACCAATGGGAATGACGTCTCTGCCTGGGGTGGACCAAGACTGAACCCAAAACCTCCCAGGGAGTTCTACGGGTCTCTAGAACCTTCTCTAAAGAACCTGAGGGATGAGAAGCCATGCCCAAGACAGGATCAGGTGAGGGCTTGCTGTCCTTCCCTGACCTCCAGGCAGTGCCAGGTGGGCAAACAGAGCCATTAGTCTGGCTCATGGGCATCTGGGAGGCAGCCAGCCTGTTGCTTCCCCATGGCCGGACAGAGCTAGGGAAGGTAGGGACTGCACGGGGACCTCCCAGACTCCGAGCCTCTAGCCGACTGATACTCCGGGCATTCCTGGAGCCCAGGGAGGGCCTCTCCTTCAGTGGCTCTCTGAGCTTCACGCTCTGCCTCCCTGCAGAGAGAAAGCCACCCGCTACATGTAGAGGGAATGTTAGGAACAAGCAGTCGGGAGGCTGCTGGCTTAAGTCATCAGCTTTGCCCTGTGCGCTGTGGGTCTCCTTTGGCCAGGCTGCAGGCCATGGAGGAGAGGATGCTTCACCGATACACAGAGCACCGCACTCAGAACCCATACTGCTCCCCAGCTGGGTGACCCTGGGCCGGGTGTGCCCGCCTCTGAGCCTCCAGTTTCTCCTCTATAAAGCAGGGGCTAGAACTGGAATCACCACACCACCAGCCAGCCTACAAAAGTAACTTCAGAAATACATCAAGTGGGTGAGCTCAATCTTTTTTTTTTTTTTTTTTAGACTGGGGATTGAACAGTCTTCACACTGAGCTGCATCCCCATCCATTTTTAAATTTTGTTTTGTTTTTCTCTATGGAGGAGTCTCACTGTCACTAAGTTGCCCAGGCTGCGCTCAAACTTGTGATCCCCTTGCTTTAATCTCCTGGAGTCCAAGGCTGGCTGTGAATGCAATCCCTTTTCTGGGCCTCTGTCTTCCCTTTGACCGCAAAGCCCAATTCCTCCAGCCCTTCTTGCGCTCAGTAAATTACATGGCTAATCCACATTCCCACTTTTTAAAGCCCAGTCCTCCTCTGCTACACAGCTAAGCTTCAGTTCCCACTGGAATACATAGAGTAACTCTTACAAGGATCACCTGGAATCTAGACTGATTTAAAGACCATAGTCTATTTAGGAGAATTATTCATTCTTTCTGAAGTCCCTGCTTGGTGCTTTTATGGACACATACATACACCTCTACCTGTTTCGGCTCCCAGGTGCCAGACCCTGTAGGCCGGGAACTACAGAGCCGGTCTTTACTGGCTTTTTGTTTTGTTTTGAGACAGAGTCTCACTATGTAGTTGAGTCTGACCTGAAACTCACTATGTAGCCCAGCTGGTCTCAAACTCACAGTGATCCTCCTGCCTCAGCCTCCCAAGTGCTGGGATTTCAGGCGTGCACCACCACTCCCAGCTTTTACTGGCTTTTTTTGAGACATAGTGTTGCTCTGTAGCCCAGGTGGGCCTCGAACTCTCCATCCTCCCACCCAGGCCTCTCCAGTAGCTGGGTTTATAGGTGTGAGTGAGGCACCCAGCTCTTTACTGACTTCTTATTGTCAGCATGGACCTAACACCCTTCTCCCAGCACCTGAGTTTTCAGAAAACTCTGAGTCCCCAGAGAGGAGCCGCTCCCCACCCCCTCCCTCCGAGGAAAGAGTGAATAAATGAAGCTTCTCAAAGGTCAGTGGCGGGTCATCAGAGGCCAGGGGCTGCCCGTAGGCTGGGGCATCTTGGCCTCCTTTCTGAGGGAGTCTGGATGGCAGCTCATGAAAAACACAGACACCTGGGGCCACCCCCGGAAACTCTGAGTCAGGAGGTCAGGGTGGGGCAGCACATTTGAGTCTCAGCAGCTGCCCAGGTGATGCCAGTGCTTGGCCAGGAGCAGGCTCCAGAGCCAGAACTGGGGCGAGACACTCCACCCTTGAGCCCAGGTGTCCTCACCTGGAAAATGAGGCTAAGGAGAGCCCTGCCTCCAGGGTGGCTGTGATGGAGCAATGATTGAGACCTGCCAGGGACTCCTGCTGGCTGCTTGCCTTCCAGCCTGACCCCTCTCCCCGCCCCGCCCCTGCCCAGCACTGGAAGCCTGGCAGGCTGAGATCTGTGCGCCCTGCTTCTGGAGCCTAGAACTCCTCCCACCTTACTGACAGCCCACGTGGGTCAGAGCTCCTGCCCTGGGCTCCCGAGTCCAGCAGTGCAGGTGCAAACCCAGCTGAGTCAGTCCTGGACAGCAAAAGAAGGAAGGAGGGTAGGGAGCAGCTCAGGGAGCTGTGCGCTGCTGTGTGGTGGGTTCTCTGCAGGCCAAAACTGAGGCCCAGAGAAGATAATTTGCTCAGAGAGATTTACTGCACACGAATACATTGGTCAGGACATTTGGCATTTGTGTTTCTTTCTATTCCTTCCCATGAAGCCTCCAAGTTATTGAGCAGTGGGGCAGCAGCAAATGAGAACTATCCATCCTCATAGTGCCTACACAAGGGCTGGAGATTTAGCTCACCGGTGCCACCGCCTGCCTCACAAGTGCAAGGTCCTGAGTTCAATCCCCAGTACAAAAAAAAAAAGTTTGTCCTCATGGCACCTACACCCTAGACAGAGCAGTCAGATGGTAAGCAAGTAAATAAGAAGCCTGGAAAAGGGTGCCTGGCACAAGGACATGGAGCAGAAGTGGGGACAGTGAGTGTGGAAGTTACAGGGTGTCAGAGTTTAGATCTAAAGTATCTCCCAAAAGTCGAATGGCCCATAGATTGCAGTAAGGTGGCCAAGGGAGCCCTCTCGAGGAGGTGGCATCTCAGTAGCACAGGAAAGAGGACAGGGTACACAGCATGTGGTGACCTGGGAGAGGAATGTGCCAGCCTGCAGGAAAAGCAAGGGCGGAGGCAGAAGCAAGAACAGGGGACCAGCAAGGAGGGGGCCATGGTGGTTGGACAGGGAGAGACGGGAGGGGGAGAGGAGGCAACACCAAAGTCCCTCTGGAAGGGCTCTGGCTTTTAATCCAGAGGCGATGGGAAGCCATTGGGCATTCCATTAGACTCAGAGACAACCAGCTAGTGAGGACATTGCACTGGCCTCGGGTCAGGGCTAGGACCAAGTCCTTGTTGTCCTTGGGAAATGTACAACGCTCAGCGCTGCTCACACAAACGGACGGCGCAAGAATGCTGTTACAGAGCAATTTAATAGGGCAGATTAGGGCCTGGGATTTAGCTCAGTGGCACCATGCCTGCCTTGCAAGTGAAAGGTCCGAAGTTCAATCCCTGATACCAAAAACAAAAATAACTGCAAATTGATAGCTGTGACTAATGGCACCCTTTGTTTGTTTTTTTTTTATCTGTTATTTTAAAGATTTTGTCATAGAGATAATATATGCTCCCGGTAGGAAAAAAATCAGAGCACAGAGGCATACAGTGTTAGGATGAAAATCCCATCCCTCCTCCACCCCTCTCCCTGGAGTGGGGTCAGAGGGTGAGATCTGTCCAGTTTGCCTAGTGTTCTGGATTTTTTCCTATGTACAAATAAGCAGGCTGCACTGTATAAAATTTATAAAATGTATAAAATTTCTGGCTTGGTGAGGTGGCACATTCTGTAAACCCAGGCTGAGGCAGGAGGACTGCAAGTTCAAGGCCAGCCTGAGAATCTACAGGACGAATGATTAGAAATGCAGGATAAAAGTCACATCCAAGTTTGATAGACTTTTGCGCTCCAGAAAGACAACAGATTCATACCTTGCTAGCAGGACATTAGGGTCCCCATTTCTGCACATCTCCTCAGTACTTGATATTATCTGCCGTTTACATCTGTGTCAATTTGTTTCTCTTTCTTTCCTTTTTTTTTTTTAATACTAGAGGTTGAACAGAGGGCCCCACTCTTTTAAAGTACAGTCTCACTGAGTCTCTAAATTGATTCAAATTTTCCATACTCCTGCCTCAGCCTCCTGAGTAGCTAGAATTACAAGCATGCACCACCATGCCTGGTAGCATCTGCTCTGATATGTTAGGCAAAAAGCAGCACTTTCTAGACAGGAAAGGAGCTTACATTTTCTCTGGGCAAACCTGAGCCTGGAACTCCATATATGTATTTGTTATGTCATAGCCCCTGTCCGTGGTCGGTGTTAGTGTCTGTTTCATTGACAACAAAACCAAGGCCCAGGAAGGGTCTTTATCCAAGACCCCACAAACAGCAAGTAGACATCCCTGGTCTTCCATGCCCCTCCCCTTAATGCAGTGTAACTATTAGTAGGGTCCATGCAGGCAGGTTCCTCAAGAGGTGTGTTTTTTTTTTTTTCTTTGTTGCTCAGGATTGAATTTGTGACTTTCTGCTTGCCAGGCAGGTGTGGCGTCCCTGAGCTACATCCCTGGCCCCTCAGGGGGTGCTTTTTAGAGGCTTGAGCAGGGTGAGGTGTTGCATTCTTGTAATCTCAGCAGAGGCAGGGTCCCAAGTTCAAGGTCAGACTGGACTTCATAGTGAATTCAAGGCCAGTTGAGACTACATAGCAAACCTAGTCTCAAACAAACGGCTGAAAGGAAGGAAGTGGGGAATGGAGATAAGGAGCTAGCCACGATGATGCACACGTGTGATCCCAGCACCCTGGGAGGCTGAGACAGGTGGAGCAACAAATTTGAACCAGCCTGGGCAATTTAGTGACTTAACGAGGCCTGTCTCAAAATTTAAAAGGGGAGGCGGGTGAAGCTGAGGATGTAGCTCAGAGTGGAGGCCCCTGTTCAATCCCTAGTACAGCCAAAAAGGAAGCAAGAGAAGGGGAAAAAAGGACATGGGGTAGTTTGGGAAAAGGCCAAGGGATAGCAGATGGAAATATAAGAAACATGTAGAATCACAACTGTCCCTGCAGAAGTGGCCGGTGGGTGTTTGGCACTATTACTTTCTTGAGTCAATCAGCCTAGATTTTTTTTTTTTTTTTTTTTTTAACCGGGGATCGAACTTGGGGATTGTATTCCAAGACCACGAATACATTGGTCAAGACCTTTCTGTACACAACAGCTAGAAACCAAACTCCAGTGACTTGCAGGAGAGGCTATGGATTGGCTCACACAGCCAAAATTCCAGGGTGGCTTCCAGAGGGAACTGAGGCGAGAAAGAAACACTGACCCCTCGTGGGGCCCCCTGCCCACGTTGCCGAGGAGAATCCGATGCCCAGGGAAACACTGGGGAGAAGTCTCAGTGCCCTCTCGCGCTCTTCCCGCAGAAGGGAATTAAAATGCTTGGTACCGGCGCCTTTGTGCAGCCCTGCTTCCCAGGAACCGACCCCACCATGAACGGCTGGTACGGCAGAGCTCTAAAATTGGGACAGCATGGGTTGACTGATTGGTCGATTGATCGATAATTGACTGACTGCATTTGGTGTGCAAAAGGCACAGATGCTGCGGGAGGGGGCGTAGAAATGAAGGAGACCCCACTTCCGGAGTTCGCCACCCCGTGGGGAGAGAGGCACGGGGTCAAGATTCTCCCGGGGAGGCAGCCTTTGGAGCCCGGAAGCCTGGCTGCGACCCCAGAACCATCACCTGGGAACCAGGAATGTCCCGTGTGTGTGTGTGTGTGTGTGTGGAAGTGGTGGTGAGGACCAGGAAGGAGACACGGAGCGCTTTGGGTTGGGGCGGGAGCTCAGCGCACAGCACCTTCCCCGCATGAGCGAGGGCCGCGGTCATCTCTGACACCACAGAGATTGTTTAAAATGGGAAGGGCTCAGGCAGTGGCTGGTGCTTAGTGTGTCACAGTATTTTTCTTCATCCCTGCTGTCTGCGATAAATGCTATAAATGTCCCAAGGCCGTTTTATTTTTTGTCAGGGCTCCTCATTCAAACTTCAGCCCCTTTGTTCTAATAGCGTGAATATGTTCAACGAAACCACGTCTTCCTCGCGTACCATCATGACCACCCTTCCTTCCAAGCTTTGCTGTCTGTCCCTGGATTGTCCTTTGAGTCCTCTCCAGCTCCATTCTCTCTCTCTTTTTTTTTTTTTTTTTTTTTTTTTTTTT